TCTCCCATATATAGACCTCCATTTATCTTTGCATATCTCTACATAGAATTGAGCCACCTTTGCCTCATGCTTCCTGCATCTTGTTCCTTACCTGAGACTTGTATCTGGGACAGGGTCTTACTATTTCTTTTCTGTCTGTCAAACCCAGCTGATGACCAAGGTCATCGGATTCTTGATGGTGGAACAAAGCAATTCATCAACATTGCAATTGTAATTGGTTGCCTGGAGAAGTGGTAGATGCCCCATCCCTGGAAACATTCAAGGTCAGGTTGGATGGGGCTCTGAGCAACCTGATCTAGTTGAAGATGTCCCTGCTCACTGCAGGGGCAGTTGGACTAGATGGCTTCTAAAGGTCCTTTCCAACTCAAACCATTCTGTGATTCTATGATTTTATTTATTTATTTATTTGTTTTGGTCTGACTTCCCATCTAAAATTGCTCCTTTTTGCCACAGTTCAGGATGGCAACATGATTAAAAACATCCCCTCCCACCCCCCCCTTCTCCAGTGGAGGATGGATTTCTATCCTTGGGGCTGCTATAGCCAGATCTAGAAAAAGACCTCATCAGCACTGTTGCTTTCACCGCTGCAGTGGAAAGCTCTGACGGTCACGGAGTCTTCTCAAGGACATCAAAGAGGAAGAGAAAATGTCACAGCGTTGGACAGGGCAAATGGAAGTCACCTGCATGTGGAGCATTACTGATGATTGCTACCCTTTTTAGATCGCTCTCTGTTCATCCAAATGCAGCACCAATTGATGTGATAATGACTCCCCTTTCAATGGCAGCTTTCATTCGAAGGATTTTGATATGTCAGTAAGAGTTGCTTTAAAATGCCAGCAATAAATATACATTCAAAGCAATACACTTAGTGCCTCGGCTGTAAAGTCCGTATATGTTCTCATCAGCTGTATTTTTGACTGAATAAATGCTAGGCAAGAACAATACTCACTGCATTTTCCACAAGCCTCCCTCCACACACACACTTGCACATGCACATGCACATGCACACACATGCACACACACATTCTCTCCTTCCTGCTTTCTGGAGAGATCAGACTGAGGTTTTCCAAGAGATGCAGGCAACCTGTATGCTTCCCACCTTGCAGCCACGGCCAGTTACTCTGCCTCACTGTGCCACGTCTCTCCAAGAAAATGCATAATGGATTCCTCTTTTACAGACAGGATGCCCGCAATGTCTTCCTGGGATCAACCTAATAGGAAGAATAAAGATCATTCTGATATCAAGAATTCCTGGTATTCTTATTGAGTCACCCTCCTTGGACATGCTTTCTACAGCATACGAAGGTCGAATACCAGACTTGAAGTCACAGAAAGGCATGCAATCAAAGCTCTTGCTCACCATCACATTTCGGGTGAACAGGGATATGTCTGAGCCCTGTCTAGCACATAGGAGCTCTCTGGATGAGGAACATGAGAGGTCAGAAAGGGGACAGAAGACAAGCTAGAATGATCAAGCAGACTCAGCCAGAGTTAAACCTAAAAAGGGGCAGTCTTGGGTCTAAATTTGCTTTGCTATGCCTCAGCAGAGAATCTTTATGTCTCTACCATGTGGCCAAGACATTTTAAAGTCAAACTTAGGTGGAACTTGTGGTCTTAGATGCATCTCCTGTAAGTACTTAGTGATCTCCTCTAGCCCTTGAGACCTCATAGTCTTTAATACAGTTGTCCTTACAGCTCCCTGCTAGATGTGCTCTTATCTTCACAGACAAGGAGCTGATATCCAGAGACCCTCAATTATCCCACAGGATTGGATGCCAATTTTTAGGCACCCGTGTTAAGATCCTGGTGATCACAAGCCCTACTAACCACTGTCTTCTGTTGGTGGCATAACTGGTTAGATCTGGGTGGGAGAAGCACCTCTGTTACACCAGAAGTCAGGGTCTGAAACCCCTGATCTATTGGGATATATCAATAACAAGGTGTCCCCAAATAGTGGCAAGCAACGAATGTGACATGGATCATGTTCACTGCCAAACCTTGTACCTTGTTGTACAATATGGGTTTCAGAGCACACATTTCAGATTAATTAGCGTGTACCCAGTTTGAGGCTTCATGGATGTTCAAAAGTTTTAAACCTTCTTTCTGGTCATATGGATGAATCTGATTCAGAATAGATATGCAACTATTTGCAACCAGGTCATGCACTGAGCGTGATGGTCTGATTTCCATCTTCCTTTCATAAGAACATTGTTTATAGATGATTCAGTGGTTAGTCTGGCTGACTCAGTCCAGCAGGATGGGGCATTCCAGAGGCATCTTTAGAAAACAAAGGCTGAAGCCTTGTCAAAAACGATGTGTTAGTGCAGGAGAGTAATGTTAGCTAGGGAAACTTCACCCCAAGTTATCATGAGAGTTTTCATGAAGAATTCTTTTCTCCTTAAGGGTAACAGAGGCATGATATAACTTCCCCAGATCACAGACACCCAGAGGGCTCTGGATTTTCTTCCAACTTGAAAGTTTGCAGACACAATCCAACAACTAATGCTCTAGCCCATGATTTTTTTATTTTTTTTTTTTTTTTCCCTGTCAAGTTCTAGTAATTGACTTGGTGGGGGACAAATAAATTGCTTCATCTTTTCAGGCTTCATCAAAGTCAGAGTGACACTTGCTTCCTTGGCAAATGGCTGAGAGAGCTGCAGATGAGAAAGGCTGTCAACGACAAATTGGGAATTGTTGGCTTCATCTTGGCAGATGTCTAAAACCCAACTCACTGAGCCCTCTTTGGCTTTCATTTAACACTTGTGGCCATCACATTTCACTCTCACTTTGCAGTGTAAGTCCCCACAGGGCAGAGCACAGCCCACTAAAACTGTCTGCACCATCGTCAGACTTGTGCAGATCCATCATGCCAAAGGACAGGTGAGATGGCTTGCTTAATAAACTTCCTACCACAGCAGAGATCTTGACCAACAGGACAACTCAAGTTTTCAGGCTTCTCTGAAGGTATCTAGGTGTCACCTATTAGTCTATATTAAGCAGGAATCATAGAAACATAGAATACTTTGGGTTGGAAGGGACCTCACAGCCCATCCAGTGCCACCCCCTGCCATGGGCAGGGACACCCTCCACTAGCCCAGGTTGCCCAAAGCCCCATCCAACCTGGCCTTGAACACTGCCAGGGAGCCAGGGGCAGCCACAGCTTCTCTGGGCAACCTGGGCCAGGGCCTCACCACTGAGGAAGAGAGATCAGAGGTGTTTTCTTCTGGTTTTGATTCCATGCAATGAGTAAATTATCTTCTACATGGATCAGCTACTAGAGGAGAAGGAAACACTTAGTGAATGCTATTGTATTTATTTGTATTTCCCCAGTGACTGTAAAAAGTGCTGCCTGAAGGCACTGAGCAAGTACAGACAAAAGATTGCTGATAACCTGCAAGTAAGGGGAGAAAGGTCAGAGCTGAAGGTACAAAGAGTCAGGCAGCACATTTTTAATGCCTTTTCGAGACATGTAGCATATTGTTGCCCTGAACTTTGCAGTATTGCTTTGACACCCTCAGACATTACATTCCTGAGGTGTTCTCAGCAAATTCCCTCACCCCAGTGCTGACTTGGAAGGATCACTAGCAAAAGATCAGTTTGCACTGTGGGATTTCATTATGCGTGTGTTATGTTTGTAAAACCATCTAAATCCACAGAGGGCTGATACCAATGAATGGTGTCATCCTCCTCACATGAGCTGCTCTGATCTAATCCAGAAAAACAGTGAGCCAGCCCTCAAAGTGTTCGTGGTGTTGGAGCACAGAGCACGCACTAAAGCTCAGAGCAAGACAGACAGAAGGGAAGGTAACTTTCCCTTGCCTGGAGAACAGCATCCCGAAGGGGATTGCTGGGTACTACAAAATCCAGATGACAGCTATGAGTTCTGGACAAGGTGTGTGTGATCTCTGGGGGGGGGTTGTTCTCAGGCAGGTTTGGGGTAAGGACCATCAGTATGGCAGCGGTGTTTACTGCGGCAGCTCTGTTATGCTTTGTATGCTTCTCCCTAGATCATGCAAGGTGTGGGGTTTTTGTCCACTGACATGAGCCCATGTGTGTTTGGATTGCTGCTGTTGCATGTCTCAAGAACTCTTGAGTGCCTCAGCCCCATTGCAAATGGGACCACGGGAGAGGGGGACACCTGTGAGCCACAATTTCCTGCACTCCTGGCAAAAAAAAAAATAAAATCTAAAGGTATGCAGGTGGAGGCACATCCAAAGTATGCACTTGGAGGAAACGCAGCTCACTGCACGCTCTGCAGCTATTTCAACAGTAAATGGGAAATAAAGTTTGAGCTGTATACAAGGGCTTGTTCCTTAGGTGATCCTGAGCGCTTGGCTGTAAAATCATGATGTGAAAACACAGTCTAAACAAGGTTTAGCAGTGACCACCTGCTTTCACAACCTGGCCCCATTCATGCATCACTATTAGTTTATGAAGATTTGGGAAATACTAGGAATGTTTCTTTCAGACTCCCTTTCCCATCATTTTTCACTCCAGGACAACTGTGTGCAACAACTTATTTCTGACAGCTCTGGGTAAGTTGAAAGTTTCTGGATATCAGGCAGTTGCCTATTAGCAAGCACCAACATCTGTCCTGCAGATTTAATTTGATCCAGCCTATTAGGATTGCCCAGTGATGGCCATTTCTGCCATCTGAACACATAGGGATGGTCTGGTGCCCACCTCAGGTTTAGATCCCAGTTCTGCAGGTGTCTGTCACATCAGGACAGGATGCAAGCACACTTTTCAATCTCCTCTCCCAGCCACTTACATGGTCTGTGTGCTGGCTGGCAGACTGACTCTGGTATGAAGAGAGCCATCCACCTTTGCAGGCAAAGCAAGGCTTGTAGAGGGACAGCCTCTCACACATCATGACATGTTGCGTGCAATGCGTGTGGTCAGCAGAAGACCTCTGAAGTGCCTCAGGCACATGAAGTGGTGGAGCAGAAGGGGTCCCACAGCATGGGGGGATGCATGAGCATAGGAGATCCGGTCTGAGCATGAGGGGAGTGAGAGGCAGGAGCCTTCTTCATCATACTTGTACTCATTGGGCAAGATTTGGCAGGCTTGATTTAGGAAGGATTATATGAAAGATGTCCAGCTAACCTAAAGGGGTAATAAACCACTTTCTTGGAGATTTTGGATAGTTATTCTCCTCTTAGCAGGAAATGTAAAACAAAACACCAAATGTTCTGGACTCAACAGCTTGTCATAGAAATAATACTGGTGTTCATTACTCCGCAGGACTGTGCATGAATCAGGAGTGTAAAAGGATTCACACCTAATACATACAAAAACTGGAGGGGAGTGGGATGTGTCCCAAAGCCCCAGGTTGACCAGAACCATGAGAAACAGTGTGGTTCCTCCTAAAACCTCTGACACCCAAGTGTTGGTTGGATCAGAAGGGCAGAGCGGCAGTGCCCTGTTTTGGTGCTCTCCAGTCATTTTGTTCACCGTTTCCCAACTGGCATATGGGGTCACCTTCACACTTCTGAACCTCAGGCACAGCTGCTTTTCCTTGGTGAAGGAAATGGTCTCCTTGGAGGAGAGTAAGACCTCCTTGTTCTACAAAACGCACTTTGAGACACCTGTAAAAGAACAGAGGCTCTGTTAAGGCAATGGGAAGAGACAGATTTCTCTCTTACTCCTGCACATTAGGAGTAACTTCATGTAAGTGTCACTGAGGTAAGCAAGAGCAGAAACAGATGTGGAGCGTAGCTACAAACAGGATGTGAAAATAAACTCATTATTCCATCTGCCCACCGTAAACAGCGTGAAATTAGCAGCAAGCAAGGAATAAAAATCCAGACAAATGGCATTTTAAAGAGAGCAGAGGGAGCTGGAAGGTCTGCTATTAGAAAAGCAGAGGCATGGAAAGCCCAAGCCATGCACAATCCAGTGCGTATCCTGAGCCCCCTGATCAGGCAGGGGCAGAGGGGGAGAAAAATCCCATGGTGCAGAGTCCATAAGGTGCTATTTTTGAAAGTAAAACCAGAAAGGCCACTACATTTTTTGGGAGAGAAGACTTGATTTTGCTTTTGTCCCTGCTTGTTAGATAGCACCATCTATTTTACAAGTCACAGAAGTTTTTGGGTTTTTTTTTTCCCTGAGAGGCACTCTCTTAATGGTGCATAAAATTACTCTCTCAGGGGTAGTGTGAGGAGGAAAACGTGGTGTTATGTTGTCTCAGTTGCAAAGACATTGCTAACAATAAAAGCCCCTGAATGATTTGGTTTTTAAGTGACATGATTATGGAACGGGTCATTCGTGACGCTCCGCTTCAAGTTGCTTCAAGTACCTCTGTCATAAAGCCTGAATAGAGGTGTTTTATGCTTTGGGCTTGGGCTGTAAATATTCACCCCTGGCCTTTGTTCTATGAAGCAAGTCTCAGCTTGAGGATATATTTACTTAAAATTTTGCAGGAAAATTTCTCAAATGGTCAATCTGTTTGATTTATTTAAAGTGGGATCCCAAAGTGTTCTACAGCTTTTACAGGCTGGCTGTGTTTATAACCGTCCTGGGGAGTATCTTCTGCAATTCATGTAGTGGAGAGGGGGAAGGAGGGTCATAATTTCTCTTTTAACCTACTTTTCTAGCAGCTGACATGACACTGACAAAGTCATCTCTTCTAGAATAAAACCTGCCATGCTTTATCCTTGTCCAGAGGAGATCCTTTGGAGAAAGCCAGGGCAAAATAAGTCAAGCACTTTTTTTCTCCCTATGGATTCTGCTCAGATATGTGCATGGAAAATTCAGAGGTGTCTGAAAGCACAGACTATGAGCAGCTCTGGCTCATTTTATAGATCTCAGTGAAATTGCAGACCAAATGATATTTCAAGGAAACTGGTTCCTTGTGTTCGGAGTTCATCAAGATATGACAGCCCAAGGCAGAGTTTCCTACATGTTGGAAATAATTTCTCTCTCCACATTTGGCAGATCCAAACAAGCCTTGAGTGCTAAATAAACCAGGTCTATGAATAAATCAGGGGTAGAACAACTCAAATTTGAGGTGTTGTGAGATTTGAGATAACTGAAAGCTTGATGGTGGCCATGAGGCACTTCAAAATAGTCTGGAGTTTGATGAAAGGTTTTGCATTTGAGATGCCATTGGGATATTTCAGAAGGAAACCTCCTGGTGGGTTCACCCAAAGTTTGTAATAAACATAATTGAAATATCTGAACTCCAGCTGCTACCTTCTACTCTAATCAAGAGCAAGAGAAGCAGCTCCTCTTAGCGAACACCCTGCGACTGCTGAGGGAAGAGAAATGGATATACTGGGCTCAAGTGGTGAACTGGGAGGGCAGCGGAGCCAGGTGCAGAAATTCAGGGCAGGAGAGGTAGCAGGTGGAAGAAGGAAAAAGGGACTTTGTGGAGACATCAATAAACTTTTGATGGAGAGAGGGGAGATCTCATGCGACCCTCAGAGACAGAAATCAGGGCTCCACTTCTTTTTTCTTGGGAGAGAGGATTTCCTAATATTGTCTGAGCTGGGTTTCACCAGGAACAGACCCTGGAGGGGCTCAGAAACCAGAAGGTGCCCCCACCTTATCTACCCTGTGAAGGGTAGGGTATCCTTACCCTTCTGGTTCCCATCCAAAGGGAAGACAAGTTATGTTAGAAACAAGGAGTTCCTTTGGGAAGTATTTGAGAAGTCCTCCTTCAAGGTCATGACAGCAGTTTCTATTTTTTATAGTACAGCAGGATCTAAAACTACATTATAGGCATGGGGACTGATTCTCACTTTCCATCAACCGGGTTTGCCTCTTCATCACTCCCCCAAGCCATGGTGCAGTCATGCCTGACCTATGTCAACATGCTCCTGAGCATCACACCAACTGGAGGAGTGTGATTTGCCTTGTCTTGACCCCCCATCTCCTCTCCATCACCATCATCCATCTCCATCAGCACGGCTGAGCCTCTGGCCCTGCCATTGCCCGGGTGCAGTGTTGCAGCCATGAGCCTTGGAGTGAGCATGTCCCCAGGAGTCAGTCTGGATGTGGCCAGCTTGCTTTAGAGAGGAAGAGCATTTAATAGCATGGATTTGGTCTGCTGCAGGCCATGGGGGCACAGCACCACTGAGCCCTGCTGAGCTAATTTATTGGTGTACACGTAGCAATAACGTCTTCCTCCTGTGCTTCTGTCTATCCTCTCAGCATGGATAACAGACCACTTTGTGTTTTTATGAGTAACTCCGAGGAGAATTTACAGAAGCTTGGAAAAAGCCAAGATAAAATGGTGGGAGTCCTGGGGAGGTGGTGACAGTGAACAAGGGCCAGCTCCTGGGACACATGTGGGCTGACTCCATGTCAAAACACCCCACACAGAGCCATTCATAGCTTCAGGGAGGCGTAGGCAGTTAAGCCGTGTGCAAGGAGGAGAGGCTGGGGTCTCCATAACATTGGGCTGCTGTTAACTTTGGAGGGCAGAAATGAGAGAGCGAGCTGGGGGAGCAAAGGGTTTGTAAAGCTTTTTGTGCTCCAAGCAAGAAAGAGCAAGCACCAGGGACTGGTCGAGTTTCTGTCATATATAATCCTGCTTCCAGTCTGACCCTGTCCAGGGTCACTCTTTCAAATCAGGAAGAACCTGGTCTCCAGGAGAGACGTGACCTGTCCTTCTGGCTCATCAGCTGGATGCCACATGCATCTCACTACTGCTGGTGGCCCAGCAATATGAGAGAGAGGATTGGGTTGCGGTGTTGAATCTCAGGTTGTGTCTTGCCTCCTTAAAATCCCTCCAGCTTCCTTTCACCCACTCCTGTTCCTCTGCAATGCTGCTGAGCAGTGCTGCAGCAAACATGAGCAGCCAGAGCTCCCCATCGTGTGGGCAATCTATGAGTAGGAGTGGCAAGCCTAGGCATTTAAACCCTTCAGTTGACCTGTTCAGGAGGGATCAGCCCACTTAAAGATTAGAGAAGAAGGGTTGTTGCTTTTAGAGTGGATGGTGATGAGAGGGATTTCCATCTCTGTGTGTGAAGATGGACATCCCAGCCTGGTCCAGCTCATGGGAGAAACAATTCATTTCCCCCTTGGGGTTGCTCCGTCACCTTCATACCACTTCTCTGGTTTTCTTGCAGAAGGCATGGCGGAAGCTGTCAGCTCGAGCAGGGACTGCCTTCAAGCAGGCGAGTCCTGTACCAACGACCCCATCTGCAGTGCCAAATTCAGGACCCTCCGGCAATGCATCGCAGGCAACGGAGCCAACAAGCTGGGCCCCGACGCCAAGAACCAGTGCCGGAGCACCGTGACGGCCTTGCTGTCCAGCCAGCTGTATGGCTGCAAGTGCAAGCGAGGCATGAAAAAGGAGAAGCACTGCTTGAGCGTCTACTGGAGCATCCACCACACATTGATGGAAGGTCAGTTGAGCAGGGTACTCATTTCTGATGAATTTCCTAAAAGACAATTACCGCTGGTGCTTTGCAGAGCTCCCCAGCACCAAAGTGGCTGCAAAAAAGATTGCTCCTGTACTGACCCCCATGGAAATGGCATTTTGGGGAAAGCAATCCTGAAAATCCGAGACACGTCCTTCCTTTTTTTTAACCTGGCCTCTTTTTTTATGACATTCCCAGTATACCTTGAGATCTTTTGCTGGGGAAATACATGGTATGTTTTGCATTCGAGTATGCTAGCCAAGACCCTGAAAGCTGTGGATTTTACAGAAACACTAGACAAAGCATGGGCATTGAGGAAAAAACAGCAAGAACTTAAAAAAAAATCACTCTCTTGGAGGCTCTCAAATGCACCAGTGTCTTTGGGTTACTGAAGATTTGGGGCTGGTGTCATCAAGTTGGAATTTAAAGTGTTCCCAGAGCCAGTATTTAGTAAGTTTGGATTTTTGACGTTTTTTAAGAGTCATCATAAAAGTGCACCTCAGTGGCCATAACTCTTCCTTGTCAGGCTGGTGAGTATTTTATGCACCATGAAAATTAAAATGGAGAATAAAACAGAACCTTCCAGCCATGGGCTGCGAAATAGATTAATAAAACCCTGCTGGCTGAAAGCTGAAAGGAAAGGTGCAAGGGTGATAACACAGGCCAAAAGGCCAAGCAAAACAGAGAGCATGGAGACTATAATGCACAGGCTTGCCAGAAAGGGAACTGCTTGATCAAGTTCTCGGAAAGCTTTTGGGTGCCACAGCTTTCAGGGTGCAGAGCATGTTGATATGAACTGACTGGGGAAATAAGAGACCTCAGCACCCTCCCGGATTCAATCTTTCCCGTAATTACTTGCCAGGTGAACTTGTTTGCATTGAAGTGAAGCCTGGGGAAGAGGTGGCAGTCCAGCCTCTCCATTCATCATAACAGGCTGAGTTGCAACCCCTTGCCCACCAACCTTCATGGCCTGAAGCTTTGGACACAGTCCATCCGTGATGTGGCTGCACAGGATGGGTGTCAGGAGCACTCCCAGCTCTGGGACTGCTGCTGAGGGGAGTGGTGGGGGCAGGCAGGGCCAGGCGTGGGTCTCCAGATGCTGAGTAGGAGGTGGGTGCTGGGTGGCCCGGTTGGATGGGCTTGGGACCTCAATCTTGGCGATGACTATGAGAGGGCTCTTATCGGAGACTGCCAAGAGTCTGCCCTACTGCTCCTCTGCTGTCGTGTCCTGAGCCCCACATTTTTTTCAAGTACTGAGTTCATCTGCAATGCAGATTCACACTCCCAAACCTTTGATTTCCTTGCCTTAATTTCTCTGGGGCAATATATTTCATAATAGTCACATGCTTCAGAGTCCTTACACATGTTTAATTGACTGAGAAAGGAAGCCAGTCCACATGCTCTGTGTAGGGCTTTGTCTCTCAGTCACACATACCCAAGAGGCTGTAAAAATCTTCCTAGAAGCCCTCTTATAAAATCAATCGTGGAAGTGTGTGCTCAGGGAATTTACAAAGCATACTATTTACTCAGCTTCTCTTGAGTGCGCCTGTGTTTAGCCGCCTTCCCATTTGGAGACACAATAACACGATGACAACCTGATAACAATTCTCTGATAAGGTGCTATATCATCAGGACATAAAACTGCTACGCTGAACATACAAATGGGCCCCTCTCTAGTCAGTAACGATGCAAGATATTTCAATGAAGGTGTAAAGCTGCCTTGTAATGCACCTGTGGTAACTGCACAGGGCTGTGTACCCTGGGAGCCATTTCTTCCTGACCGCAGCTGGTGATCAGCATATGCCCGGAGCATGAGGTTTGACAGTCCTTTTATCCCAGTCAGTACTTCTGCTGCTGCTGTCCATATCCATCTAAATGTCTAATAAAAAAAAAAATTACACTGAGCTGTTTGCTTCAATAATATTCTGTGGTATCCATCAGCATGACGGGGCACTACAGACCATTGAGCGGATGAAAGGGAAGCACCAATGGAATAAAATTAGCTTCCCAGCAACTTAAAAATGAAGAGGGGAAGTTTCTGAAGGAGCTGTGGGTCATTAGCTCTATGCCACGTAAGAAAGGACTGTTGGCAAGAAGAAGGGGAGATGTGTTAATAAATATGAAGGGGTGTGTGTTGCCACACACACAGCCCTGTGCACAGCCCTGGCTGTGTCCTAGAAACAGGTGAGGACCATTGACCCAGGGAGGGACATACAGAAAATAGCAAGAATGGTGATAGAAACCCCATGTACGTAGGGAGCGAGTGGTTTGAACTCTGCCCATGAACAAAAGTCTGTGCTACAGTCTGGTGTCCTCAGTGGCAATCCCTGTAAAGGGGCCCAAAACTTGAGCTATGGAGGGTTGCAACTCAAGAGTTCCCTGAGAAGCTGTCCTACTCCAAAGCCGTGATATATTTTTAAAAGCCAGTTACATCCTATTTCCTTCTCTAAGGATATGGCCATACGTCAGTTCCTGTGACTCTGAGTATCCATTTACTTACAGCCTTTAGAGCACGTGTCCACTTGGACCAGCCAAGCACAGCTGCACTGCATCTGTTGGCTCTCGTACATCTTGGACATCCCTCAGGAGCCTCAGTTGCCTTCTCACTAACTTCTCTTTTCAACCTAGGCATGAATGTACTGGAGAGTTCCCCTTATGAGCCGTTCATCAGAGGCTTTGATTACGTCCGGCTGGCATCCATCACCGCAGGTAGGTGGGTGGGAAGATGCTCTTACACTGACTTGTTCAAACGGGGGAACTGGCTGTGGGATCAAGCCCTATGGACAAGGCAGTCCTTTGTGGTCTCTTGTAGTCTCTTCACAAAGCATTGCTGAGATCTTGCAATCATTTTTCCAAGGAGCTGCTTATGATTCCTGTGCTAAACTGTTGGTAGAAGAACATGCCCTAGGAGGAAGCACTTGTGATTTTCATTCTTCGGCTTTTTCATGTCCATACTGTGAAGGGCTGGGACTGAGGGACATGGTAGGAAAGCTTCTTCCAATGAGCCATCACAGCTGGGCTGATTCTTCATAGCAGGTAGATGACCTGTGCCATGCAGATACCTTGCCAAGTACGGGCTGCCTGGGTATCATTAGGTATGAAAATGTACGTCCATGTCAGCCACAAGGCCAAACTCTGCAGGCAAAAAGGTCAATAACCCAACCTACTTGTTTGATGCCAGCCACAGCCTTTAACCCCATGCCCTGAGGGCAACCTCAGGACTCAGATCCGTGTTCTGCTCTGCATCACGTAATCCGGTTAATAATGTGAGCAGAGCTGCCTGACACCTTTTAACCCCCTTGAGGGCATGACCCCTCCAGCTCAGCAGTTAAAAGGTCAGTGCGGTAGCTATTTAGCCATCCATCACCAACATCACAGCTGCCACCACAACCAGCGTTCAGCTCTGCTTATGCACCACAGCCGTGGGGAAGCTTTAACGATGGTGAATTCTGTTACCAAACTACCCATGTGGGAGCAGGTGATGTGTTCCTCATGTGCCTCTGGCAGATGTCCCAAAACAGCAATCCTGTTGCAGCTCTTCCCAAACGTGCACCTGACTCTGGGGTGGCATCGGCAGCTGGAGTTCACCCAAGCGAGTAAGGAGCAGACCGTCCCTGCAGCCGATGGATGTCTGCAGTCCCCGAGATAGCAAGGCACTTGTTAGGTGAAAATGTCCAGGAGCAAATTAACCCATCAGCCCCTGACAATCTGAGCAGCGAGGGGAAGGGCAGGGTGCTCCCTGACCTAACATCTTCTTGTTGACTCGGCTGATTTGAGCATGGAAAGTGAAGCATGCACAAAGCTGTTTGCCGGGTCATGGCCTTCTTTACTTGAGTTTTTCCTTTCACTGGCAGTCCTACAGGGCTCTTCAGAGCACAGCAAAATCCAGGGATGGGGATTTTTATGCCTGACAAAACATCGTCAGGATTTTAAAGAGGACTGAAACTGGTTGGGCAGCAAAGTGAATGGACCCGGAGCACAAGGGATATGTACCAAAGAACTCAGCAACCATCTAGGGACGTGATGTTTCTTGGTTTGACCTTATCTTCCCTGTTTAAACTCATCAACAACTTCAATAACACATCTTATGACCTGCCGTCCTGTGCTTGTCCAGTGCCCAAGATTATACAGTCAGCATTGCCAAAGAACCCTCTTTCCTACCAAAAAAAATATTCCCAATAACTTGCTGAAACATAAGAAATCCCCATGACCCTATGCCAAGTCAGAGCAACAGATATTTTAAACTCAATTTTTTCATAAACAATATATGGCCACTATTAAAAATGTACAAATGGAATTATATCCCTCCATTCTAATTGTAGTGGTGCTTTAAAAAAGCACATCCTCCGTTGTTGCGTGGGAAGAGGAGAAAAGCTAGCGTGTTCCCTGTGATTCATTAACTGAATGGGTAATGAAACCCTTCCAAGTAACTGTTTCCTACAAGTTTGCTGACAGCTCCCCAGCGTAAACCGATGCTCTAACAGTATTAATCTCGGGGCATTTTTAAAGGGAAATACCTACGTGGTAGGAACACACCGAGCATCGGTTTCACCCGTCATAAAATAACTGCAAAACTTGGAATTTGACTTCCAGCTCACCACAAGCAGTTGGGACAATGGGAAGGGAAAAATAAATGCTCGGAGAAGGAGAATCTGATAGCGTCAGTGAAAATGAAGGAGGGCAGGCAGTTTTGAAGCGCTCAGAGAGACTGTCAGTGTTTTAACAGTTGTCAGCAGTGACTGGCTGGTTTTAACTCCTGGCCAAAGATAGGGCTTGACTCTGCATTGGAAATTTATCATTCTGGGGATTTTTCCTCTGTGAAAAATCCTCTTCTGCTGGGGAGAAAGTCCTTCTACTGTGCTTCAGGTCATGGGCTTAATTGAGAGGTGAAAAATGGCTTCAAATTCATTTTCTCCCTCACGCTTGGAGGACCCTCATCTTATCTCTCCGATCAGACAGAGCCTAATGTCTCAACCGACTCCTACCAGGGACTCTGCAGCATTTCCCCCCTCTATAAAAAGAGCCTCAACCATCTTCGAAGAAGCCCTAAAATCAGTGTTATACAAATATCTTTCATTCTTACCTATTCCCCTATTTGCAGAGGAGGTCGTTAGCATATAAACTCATGAGACCCCTATTTGCCTACCGAAAGCAGCGTGTTTCCCACCCATCACCAGAGTTTTTGTTTTATTTTCCTGATTGTTCCCCCTGCTGCGAGTTTTCCTCCAGCTTCCCTGCATCCCCACAGCACACCTCTGCTCTCCCACCCAAACTGCTAATCCAGGACTTCTGCTCCCCTCTTGTTTAAGAGGGTGGAAATCCAGATTGATTTCACCAAAGCCAGCAAAGGGGTGACCTTGCAAAAGGTGTAGAGACCTGCATGCGCCCACATACAGGCAGCATTAAGGTCCCAGGGCATCAGATTGGATTGTAACTCTGATTCCCATCCCATAGAGGCAGTGTCACTGCTTAGAAGATGGGCATACTGGGCAGAACTGGTCCGGATGGGGGAAGCCAGAGCTGTGGGGCTTTGAGAACTGAACAGCTCTCACTTAGTTGGGCAGGTCCTGAACATAGCGCAGCTGCTGCCAAAGCCCAACTTGACCCTCTGGAGGCCTTACAAAACTCATTGCATAGGGTAGAGAGTCCGGGGTGCAAGGATTAGTGCAGAGCACCCACGTATCAGGAGACCTGGCGTGGCCACTGACAGAGTTTGTTCTTGAGCAACTTTTTTGAAAAAGAAAGTTCATTAGAAGAGATCCCTTTACACTGGTGAATCCAGTCATTGCCATACATAGATGACCTTTCTGATGATATCTGTCTTCCCAGGCCTCAGGTTGGTTAATTCATGTTGGTAAAGTGTTATGAGATGCCCAAGGCAGAGCAAAGCTCCATTTCATAAAAGGCAGGAGCTTGGTGGAGCAGGCTGTGGGCTGTGAGGTTTGTTGTGTGGCCATGGCACCTCTTGGGAAAGGTGAGTAGGGAAAGGAGATTAGGCTCTGCTGGGACACAGAGAGCAAATGTAGACTTTGTCCTGGCCACTGCCTTCCTAGAGTGGGTGGTGGCCTCACTGAGGTGGCCATGGATGGGAGCAGTACGGGGAGGAAGGTCTCAGCATAGGTTGATGCTGCTGGTGGGGAGGTCAGTGCAAAACCCCATCACCATCTCCCACCACCTCGCAGGGTCTGAGAATGAGGTGACCCAGGTCAACCGGTGCCTGGATGCCGCCAAAGCCTGCAATGTGGACGAGATGTGCCAGCGGCTGCGGACAGAGTACGTCTCCTTCTGCATCCGTCGCCTGGCCCGGGCCGACACCTGCAACCGCTCCAAGTGCCACAAGGCTCTGCGCAAGTTCTTCGACCGCGTGCCACCGGAGTACACCCACGAGCTGCTCTTCTGCCCCTGTGATGACACAGCCTGTGCCGAACGCCGGCGGCAGACCATTGTTCCTGCCTGCTCCTATGAGTCCAAGGAGAAGCCCAACTGCCTGGCGCCTCTGGACTCCTGCCGGGAGAACTACGTCTGCAGGTAACGTTTGCACATCGGGGTGGCCAACATGGGGAACTGTCCCTTGGACAAGCCTGGGGTTCATCCACCAGTGATAGCCCAGTGACCAGAGCCAATGCACCCACCTGAAGGATCCTGTCTGGAGGCACCCATCCCACCAGAACCCACTGACATAGACCATTTTCTGACCCATGTCCTTGTTTCATACTCTATACAGAAGGCTTTAACAGACCGGAGATTTGAGAAGTTTTGTGCTGGAGCTTTTTTAGAACTTTTCTATGAGGTTTTGGCTTTGGTCTTAAAGGAAGAACTGCTAT